TCTGTGGAGTACACCAGGCACAAATACACGCACACGCAGGTATGTACTGCCAATTTCCACATTTATTGACGTTTTGTTTTGACAGCTGAATCAGTCGCACAGCCTGACAGCTCACGAGCCCAGCTGATCTCTCTCTTGGCCGCTCCTCCCCGTCTCACTATAAAAACACAGCGGAGGGAGACCATCATCAGTACATAAACACCATCAGCTGTTCTTACCGGCCTCGCAGCGCCGCCCTGTTGAGCCTTCTGCTCCACTCCTCCCCTGCAGCTGCGCCCGGGGCCACGCCTCCGCCACACTTTCCTTTTTGCTAAAGCATATAGTTAGGGCTGGACCAGGTGACCCTGAATCCTCCCTTAGTTATGCTGCAATAGACGTAGGCTGCGGGGGATTCCCATGATGCATGGAGTGTTTCCTCCGTCACCTTCACTATGTATTAACAGACCTCTCTGCATTGAATCATATCTGTTATTAACCTCTGTCTCTCTTCCACAGCATGTCTTTATCCTGTCTTCCTTCTCTCACCCCAACCAATCACAGCAGATGGCCCCGACCCCTCCCTGAGCCTGGTTCTGCGGAGGTTTCTTCCTGTTAAAAGGGAGTTTTTCCTTCCCACTGTCGCCAAAGTGCTTGCTCATAGGGGGTCATATGATTGTTGGGTTTTTCTCTGTATCTATGAAGCGCCTTGAGGCGACTTTTGTTGTGATTTGGCGCTATATAAATAAAATTGAATTGAATGAGATTCTGAGACCACCCAAGTGAAAGCCTTCAGTCACTTGGCTGCGCCTAGAAATTCTGTCCATAAAAATTATGACCAGAATCCTGTTCATGCTATATTGATTTTAACTTTCCTTCAATAAACCTCATTAAATCACTTTGCTTTCGATGCGCAATTTGTTTTTCAACAATTAATTAAAAACAAACAAACAACAAAAAAGCAGAGCATCAAGTATTCTTGGGCAATACACTGTACCCTCATTCTCATCATAGTGCAATTGTGTGTGAATGTCAGATAAATGTGTGGTGTTGAAGTACATGCACAAAAGGCTACCTTTGTGCTTACATGGTGCTGCTGGAGAGAGAATAATGCTGCTGTAACTGCAAAAGACTTAGACAAGAATCCTCCTTATTGGCCAGATGTTCCTGACAGATCTGGATAAGTTAATACATTTTGTGTGGTCCACTCTGGTCTGCCATGAAATGTTCTAACCTTCTTCTTTCTAGAAGATTTGACTAACAGATTATAGTGAGTAGCAGGACTGATAAGAAGCTGGCCTCATGAGATCATGTCTGCTATATGTCAGCTGTCTTATTCATTTTGTTCCCACGAGATTTCTATTTTCTCAGGAAGGTTTTTATCACAATAGCAAAAGTAAACTAATTAGGATGGAAACAGGCTTTTTAAAGTGTTGATATTTATAAGGCTGTGTTCTTTTGGAACAGCACCATTGTGGTGTTTTCACAGCCTCTACAAGCTGTGAGAAATTCGACAGACGCTTCTCACATAGCACAGATGGAAATATTTCTCAAAGCACAGTGCCACAAGCCAGAATCCCCAACACATGTGCAGTGTATTTAAAGCAGACCTTGTTTGCTCTCAATACGCAGCACTGTCTCTGTGTTTCATTAGTATCTGATCTCAGTTACCATCATTATCTTACAGATTAGTATATCAGTGATTCAAAACTGATAAATCTAAAATGTTTGGAAGTCATTGCAGTCATGAATAATTCAGGCTTCAGGCTTTGTTCAAACTGCATCAGATTTGCTTTTAAGAAGTGATTATATTTGAGTCTATTACATTGCTTCCTCTGTCCATCTCAGACCTCCTGACCAAATTACAAGAACCTTTTGTGGTTACACGGTGAGTGGGAGGGGTACCGCTAGACAGGTGTGGAGCCACACAGATACACCTCAACCTCCTAAAAAATGGAGAAAAGCAGAATCCATTTGTCTGGTGAGTGTGGTGGAGGTTAGAGATGAACTGGGGCTGCAGGTACCTCTCATTGGGATAACCATGTCACACCAGCCCAGTGAGCGGATGTTGCTGCATTCCAACATGTGTTTTGCACACGTGTTCTCTCCCCTGCCTGGTCACTACATACTTGAAGATCACCATGTTGAAATGCACCCAGGCATCACAGTGAGTTCCTATAGATAACCTGAACATAAAAGGCAAACGGTTCAGAAGGAACTGGTTGCTAGAGATGCCTTTGGGGGCTGGCTGGTTACTGCCGGAGGTTTGTACTGGGTTTTGTATAACAGGGCGATAGATCTTGTACAATGGACAGAGTACTACCAGGCGACTGCCCAGTCGTGTGCCTCAACAGGAAGCTATCCGGTCGTAAAGTCTGACGTCACTAGCTGTGTCTGGGCCTAAACTCCGCTGCAGGTCCATATATCAAACGATCACTGTGGCATTACTGAGAGTTGAAAAACTGTCTAAAGTCTTTCATCTTTAATAAAATGATCAGCGTTCTGCTCTACCAGGTGTAACAATTGAGTTTAACACCCAGGCATCCATGAAAACGGAATTTATGAGATTTAATGGAGTTAGAAGTTAGCAGGGAGTTAGCTTGCTAGCTTCTATCTAAATACAATATAGCATGTCCTGACTGCGGGGTTTTGGAAACAAATTAAAACGTACAGCTCTGTTATCACTTCCAACATAAATGAAGACAGAAAACTAAACAGCAGTGACGTTTGTAGGGTTACTGAAGTTGGGCTAGCTGGTATATAATGATGTGCTACGTGATCGCTAGCGACACAGCTATGTTAGCATAATATAAACAAGCTAACTTTTTTTCCACTGGATAAAAGTTAACGTGAGTGTTCTCGGTGGTCAGGAACAAATGTAATCGCATGGCAGGATGCTGTAAAAGGACCAAACTTCAGCCAGGAGAACAACTGAGATAATCCATCCACAATACGAGGTTAGTCATTCATATACTGCTGCATGGGCTGGGCTGTAGCTACATCCTAAGGTTTTAAAAACTGAGCTTAAATAAATGATTAGCGGTAATAAAAGCCGAGGGAGGTCAACAGTGATCACTGACTGTTTTAGGAGCTTTTTGAGATCAAATAGAAGAAAATACAAAACATTAAACATGTTAACAACACAAAAGCCATAAACGCAGACTACTTTAGGCCTGGAAGTAGGATTCGTCACGTCATCACTTAACAACCGGATTAGAGTGTAAGACCCACTACAACACTCTGGAAAACGTGTGGTGGGTGGTTGACTCTCTTCATTATTACCTCCTGAGATGCCCATTCACCTTCTGACAATGGCTGAACTCATTGTGCAAATGTCCTGTTTATAAGATGGGGGAAACCTGCAGTCAGCTGAGACTGAAGGAGTCACTTGAATGAGTGATGAAATGTTTCTCCCACTGAAAACGTCCAGATGAACAGAATCAACCTTTCTGGGATTTACTTACCTGGATGATCGAACATGCACCAAGGTCATTTGGTTCTCCCCACTATATTTGCAGTATCAGATTTTTTTTAAATCTCAAGATAATCAAGCTAACTAGGAAAGGCACAAAAGATGCAACAAATTAACATAATCAGTGGAACTTTAGTTCTGTAAGTCACCATCTTGATTTTAAAAGAATGCAGTCAAATGGACAGAAAATGTGCAGCTGTGCTCCAGTCTGTGTGCCAAATGATCCTTGGCTGAGATACCTCAAGTTGTTCCTGATGTGTTCATTGGAATATGAATGTTAGAAAACACTTGCATGTAAACGTGTGTGCATGAATGACGTGTTAAAGCAAGTGCTCCAGAAGAACAGTGCTACATATTTACCATATTCCATAAATCAAAACGAAGTCTGTACCTGGTGTTGATACAGACTATGGTTTAACTGCATAGATGCAGATATAGAAAAAAATATCTGTAGTCTGTGCAAGATCCTTTACCTGTCTGCAAAATCACGACTTTCTATTCATTTCATTTGGCCTTTACATGGTGAACATTTCAGCTGCATCAAGTTGCTGCTGTTAGCCATATCAATGCCAGGAAAGCAGCTACGTCTGCCATCAAAATAATAGCTCATCATCAGACATCAAACACACGTGAGCCCAAACCTCTCAGGTTTAAGGAAACCTTTCTGTCTTCATGCTTTCCCCTCAATCAGTTGGAATGCTTTTGTCACTTTTTTTCAAGTCAAATGTGAAAGTCAAAGTCAAAGTGAATATAATTCTTTCCTCCTCACTCTCATCTCTCTATATTTATTGGAAGTGGTGTGAACTGACTGAAATTGTAGGACGACGGCTGCGATGGTTCAATGTTATAATACTTAGGTTAGCTTAGCTGTTGCAATGCTTAAAGTGTTTGACAAAGGCAGCTGATAAGCACTTATCTCCTGGGAACCTTTAATGCCTGGAGAAGTCCTGGCAGTCAGTTTAATAGTCATTAAAGTGTCTGGATCAAGAGGTGGACCTCTAGACTGACAATATTCACTTCAGAGAAAAACCCAACAATGTAATAACCCCCAATGAGCAAGCACTTTGGCGACAGTGGGAAGGAAACACCAGGAAAAAGCAGGAACACAAGCTTTCACTAATCACAGGGTTGTTTTCCTGCTGAGTTTCTGACTTTCAGACTCGCACCCATTTCCCCTTCACCCGACAGAGCCTGTCCATCTTTTATATACAGTTTTTTCTGACTTCCTCATGGTGCCATTGTTTCACTGTTCATGGCATCGTACCTGGGATTACTGTACTTGTGAAATACTTTCTGGAACTGAAGCTACTGATAAAAGTGCAACTGGAACATCAAAATGAAAAACAAACACAATAACAAATAGGACATAATCTCCAGATGTGACACAGTCCAAACAATAGTAATCTTGAATATAGCAGCCTGCTCAAATAAATGAATTTTGTAAAGACAAAACATTTAAGAATGTAAAAATATGGCAATGAAAACATTCAATGGGTTACAGAGAAAGTGATTTTAATATATGGTTCATCTGTGTCCTGTAGTGCCTGGTCATCAACATTTTATACTGAAAGGTGAGACCGGTAGTGGGACCGCCTGTGTCACCCTGTAGCTTCACACAGCAGCCCCTCCCTTTACCCCATTCATTCCTGTGCAGTGTTTTATACTGAAAGGTATAAGATGCTAATTCACACAGCGATTTGTACACGCGTGAGCGGGCAGCAGAGCAGAGACTGCGCTCTCAGCCTCTAATCAGCTTCATGCGATCCGGACTTTCCGCTCCAGCAGTTTCTACAGCCGATGACTGACTGCAGGTGAGCAGACTTGTGTCGCCTGTTGCTCCTGTGTCCGTCTCCGCTGTGTTACGTGCGGACTACCCGTCCTCAGTCAAGGCCGCTGCTTTCATCAATGTTTGCATGGAAAAGAAATGTTTCTTTTTTTAATGTATGATTACTGATGTGATGTTATATAAAACCGCCTGTGTGCTTGTAGTCTTATCTTACAATTCGATTATGAAAGCTTTGAATTGGTGTAGGCAGTTCAGGTAGGGTGATGCGTGATATTTTCACAAGGAACGTCGTGCCAGACGCCATTAAAAAATAGACTTTAATGTTTATTCTTGTAATTATCTGGGCAGCTTTGCGCATTAAAGTTCATTCGCACGTCATTCAAGAGTAGCGACACCACACATTCATTCGGCTTTCGAGAAAATAGCGAGAAGCTGTTTATTTTTTTTGCATAATTTCAACTTTATTCCGGCTAAACCCGCAATTTGCTGCGATCTTTTCTGGGTACACGCACCTCGGATGGCGGTAGCTGTCGTCTATCAGTATTAAAGTTCAAATAATTAGTAAATAACCGCTGCTGAGTCTGGTGTGCGTCGACTTATTATGCTAATATCTCGCTGATGGATCTATTGCACGGTTATTCGTTTGCAAAAACCAGGCAGCGTAAAGTTGGGTAAAGATGGGTTTGGAATATTCAGTTAAATCAAACGGGAGAAACGACAAGCTGAGAGCTTTCAATGTATGCAGCAGTTCAAGCGTTTTTACGCGCATGGCAACAGCTGGATCTTACTGGGATTGTGTATCTCAGACTGCAGGTATATATATATATATATATATATGTATATGTGTGTGTGTGTGTGTGTGTGTGTGTGTGTGTATTACTTATATCTGGGTAGTCCCCTAATCATTAGTAGAGACACAATCTCATATCATAATGTCAGCTGCAAGCTTTAGACATGTGACATGAGTAACTTTAAAGTAGTCACTTTTGCATTGCCTCTGTGGGGTGCACTGGGTTGGTTATCACGTGGGTTGTTAATGAATCATTACAGTGCAGTGAGGAATTTTGTTGATATTAAACATCTGAGATGTTCGTTTAGCTTTGGTCAATATATGGAAATGTTAGTGCGGTGAAGGATGACCCAAAATACGTACACAGAGAGGCAGGTGGAGTTGAACAGGGGAACCCTTTATTGGGCTGTATGACAGAGACAGTATGGCAATAACATCTCACTCTGACAACAGAAGGATATCACTTTAAAGGAAACGCCTGGCAACAAAATGAGACACAGATGAACAGAATGTAACTGATGAGACAGGTGTAAGCAAACCTAACACAGCTGAACCAAATGAAAATCCGAAAATTGAGAGCAAGACCCACAGGCTTGATAAAAACCTCTACGCTAGACAGAGACTAGAGGAAAGAAACACAGAGACAGGGAGAAAGCTGACACAAAATTTAATTCAGACCTGAGAACTAGAAGCAAAGTTAGTTATACTGAAGGACTAGAAATTAATTTGCTTCGCAAACCCAAGATCAAACAGGAACCTACAAAAACTCAGAACCAACAGTCAACGCCCATTAAGGTCCATGGGCTGTTGAGGGGAGGAGGTAATTTATGATGTTCATGTGTCAGAATAATTTTCCATATTGTTGTTTTAGTATTAAAAGCTCAGCCAGTCTTAGTAATTAAAAACAACTTTAGAAAACTGAAGGTAATAGTTTTGATTTGAATCAGTTTTTCATTAGCAAGCTAAAGCCATGTGATGGCTAGGTTAGGTTTTCACTAGGTCATCTGGGGATCTCCGGATGTTTCTGAACAATAAAAAAGGAAGAAACTGAGATTCTGGGTCAGATTCTCTGTGTTGCTAGATCAACACTAGCAACCTGTAAATGTAAAGAAGGTTTCTTCACCTGCACGATCGAGTAAGCATCGAGATGAAGAGCAGTTCAGAGTCAACTTTGATATTAATGCAATTTATTAATTCATTTTTGTTCTCACGTGTTTTCCTTGACTTGCTCACTATTGTTATATCTGTTGGAAAATCTTGCACAAAAAGACTTGTGTTTTATGATGATGATTGATTGATGATTGAATCTTTATTTTGAACATGTTGAAAAAGTACAACAAAATAGAATTAAAAGAGACAAATGAACAAAGCAAAACAAAAGGAAAACGAGCAACCACAACTCCAAATAAAGTTCATGTTCAAAAAGGAGCAGGAAGAAGCATAAGC